TTGGGGGGACAGTGCGAACCTGAACAAATGATCCCCTCTCCCACTACTAATTGATCCTTCGACATTCTAGAAAAATAAAAATTCTATCAAAGAGTGTATATATGGTACCCCTCTCTTCCACTGCTGCTGGTGGATTGTTGAGCAAAAAGGCCGACATAAGCAACATTTCTTAACGCACTTTTCAATTCAGATCATCAAAACATGATTGGTGAGGGGAAGTTTTCCGACGGCCTTCCATAATTTTTATAGTAAAAGATAGTGATGCTAGCAAAAATCGTACCTGTCGACTTTCGAGCTTGACGACTGATAATGAGCACGAATGAGGTCTTCCGATACCTGAAACAAAGGCGTCGAGGTGTGTACTCGTCGCCCCTCCAATACTTAAGTCAGAGAGAGAATTTATGAAGATAATATATGGCCCCATTCGGGAGGGATTAAAAGCCAATTAAAATTGAAAATATGGTCGTTATTGGGTCTCACTCGTCTAATAAAAGTCAACAATAACGACTATATTTTCAATTTTAATCTGATTTTAATCCCTCCCACACAAGCNGAACTTAGGCCCCGTCCGGGAGGGATTAAAAGCCAATTAAAATTGAAAATATGGCCGTTATTGGGTCCCACTCGTCTAATAAAAGTCAACAATAACGGCTATATTTTCAATTTTAATCCGATTTTAATCCCTCCCATATAAGGCCTATGTTGTAAATTGTGTAAAAACATACCTTGATAATGGATGAGAATGATGTATTTATAGAGGTAGGTGGTTGACTCCTAGTAGGACTACAATGTCGTGATACCTAGGAGTCCTAGTACAATTGGAAGTTGTAATGTAGTTGGGTTTGTATTACTCACGTGTTTGGATAGAAATGTGAATAGTGTTAGAATCTTTTAGAATGTGGTAACACATTCTCATAAGGACTCTGCTTCGTAGACCGATCCCGATAAGTATAAGCCCGAGGAGATCAGGCTGGTTCTGGCTTAGATGTGACATGAACTCCTCGGGAATTCAAGCTCGGGATTTCTCCAGGATTGGTATCATCAGTGGCCCCCATGTATTCATGCTTGAGATCTGCCTTCGAGATTCTGGGGTAGATGCATATGACAGAGGGATGTTCAGAATTTGGGCATGTGCTGCTCAGCCTCTCAGTGTGGACTGAACAGCTATGAAGGAGGGTTGCTCAGCTTTTGAACCTGGGATGTGCCGCCATGTAAATGGGTTGCTCAGCTTCTTAAAATGGGCTGAGCAGCCATGAAGGAGGGCTGCTTAGCATTTGAACTTGGGCTGTGCAGTCATGCAAAGTGGACTGAACAGCCATGAAGGAGGGTTGCTCAGCCTTTGAACTTGGGCTGTGCAGCCATGCAAATGGGCTGCTAAGCCTCTTAATGTGGACTGAACAGCCATGAATGAGGGCAGCTCAGCCTTTGAACTTGGGTTGTGTAGCCATGCAAATGGGCTGCTCAGCTTCTTAATGTGGACTGAACAGCCATGAAGGATGGCTACTCAGCCTTTGAAATTGGGCTGTGCAGCCATGCAAATGGGCTGCTCAGTCTCTTAATGTGGACTTGAACAGCCTTGAAGGAGGGTTGCTCAGCTTTTGAATTTGGGTTGTGCAGCCATGCAAATGGGCTACTCAACCTCTTAATGTGGACTGAACAGCCATGAAGGAGGGCTGCTCAGCCTTTGAATTTGGGCTGTGCAGCAATGAGGAAGGTGTGCTCAGCTTAAGAATTTCAGGCTGTGCAGTCTAGGGTTTGTATATGTGTGACGCATGGTCTCGATGTTCGAGCCGACATGGTGGATGAGTGCTACGTGGCATGATGGAGGGCCAGGATGGAAAGACTAGATCTTCCTCAGAGTTCTATAAATACCCCACTTTCCTCACTTCATTTTGCACCTTTCAATTCTCTAACTCTCCTCGGACCACTTCGGGTTTAGGCCTAAGGTAAGACCTTGTCCCCTGTAGATAATTTAAGTTTTTATTTCTTGAAAATGTCCAATAGCATTAGTTCGTCAGCAGGTGCGGACCCAATGGGGGTCCTGGGGGCAGGTGCCCCCCAACTTTTGAGAATATTTTTTTTTAAATCACGTTTGTTATCAATTGAAATTTAAATTTTAATCTAAATCAAAGTTAACAATTAATTTTAATAACATATTTCATGGAATTCATTATTGTTTAATTTGTACCAAAATTTACTAAAATTTTGATTTTAATTTTCACCAAACAGGGGTAAAATCAAAATAATTTGAATTTCGAAATATACAAA